GAAAGTAAATAGATCTACTAAATGAAGAAAATGACTCAATACCAAAAACAGCAATAATTAATAAAAGGGAATTTTTTAAAAAACCTGGAAGTAAATGGGAACAAAGAAGCCATCAACCTCACACACAAATATAACAATAACAAAATTCTTATATAAATATGTGGATGAAAATATGGTATACCCTGAGGGACATTGAAGCAAAGGGGTAAAAATATCCTCAAGGGGTTGTGGGGATAGGGAATAATACAAGAATAACCCATAGTAATCTAAAAAGCAGTGTTAATATTCTTAGCAATGTAAATATCTTATAAATAGACTTGAAGTAAAAATTCATCAAAACAATGAACACTATATGACAAAGAACCAAACTACCCGGAAAACATAGCAGTTATAAAAATCTGTATATCTGACGTGAGAGCCTTGAAATTTGTAAAGCAAACACTTGCAGAATAAAGGATTAAAATGCTGTGGACTAACAGCCAATTAGACCTAACTCATATTTGTCTGTGTTTTAAGCAAATAACAGCACCTCCGTATATGTTCTATTCGACTGCATACTGACCTTCTCCAGAAAAAATAAACCATTTTTAGGACACAAAATAATGGATACACTAAAAAACCAGTGAGTTGTAGAAAAATTTAAAAGTAGTAAAAATCTTTGGCACATAGTGAAAACAGCGCTCAGCTTAAAATTCAAAGACTTAATGCTATACCATTGTTACACTTTATTATGCTGACTTGGATGATTTCTATTATGTTGCCATTTGCGCTTGTGATGGAAAAAGCATTGCCTAAAGTGGTTTTCATTTGAATCAAGGTAGAAGCCAAGATGTACTTCAGAATGTAACTGATGAAGAAATAAAATTTATTTTATTAAATTTGGAAAAAAAAAGAAGTGTTTGCAAGAAGTACTATCAAGATAATCATTAAAAGATGAAAAGTAGAACATCTTTATTCTTAATGTTACAGCAAATATATTTTTCTTTGTTGTCTAGGTGACGTAGGAATGGGTGGCTTGATCCTTCAGTGTATTGTTCAACTCCACACAGGAGCCCAGCATACACTCTTCTTACAGCAGCATCTGTAACTCTGGCATTTGGAGCAGCTTCGGAATCTGGGATCAACTTGAGGAAAAAAATTATGTTCCTTGAACTTTTGAGTAGTTAGTAAGGAGATCTCTAAAGGTCTGTGACCAAGGCTTGCAAGTTGGAAAGAGGTAGTTGGTTTTATTGGAACTGAGGAGAGGGTACAGAAGAGTGACATGTTTAGAAACTAAAACCTTATTGGTTTAGTTTTTGTTTTTTTTAAAGATCTCCCTTTTTTATTGGTTTCCTTGCAAAGTTTGTATTGCAAAGTTTGTATACATTGTATTTCACACTATTCTTCATTCATATTTTGGCTCATCCATTGTTTTGGAAACTTTGCCCAAGTATTTTGGCTACTTGAGGATTAGGTTTGTTAATAAAAGTATACTTGTTCCTGTGTCTCTTATAAAAATACAGCTCATCACTAAATAGAAACAAAGGGTGCCCCCCAAAGACCTCTATTCTTTTTTTTAATCTTTTAAATTTTTAAATTATTTTTGCATGTGTGTACCGTCAAATTGGATCTGACTGATACAGGAGGAGATTGCCCCTCCTTCTCCAGCAGATCACCTGGTGAATTCGAACTGTGTACCTGTGGGATTGAGAACTCTATTCTTAATGAGAAGCATGTCTTGAAAATGTTCTTCCTCCTGCCAGCCTTGAGAAATAATCAATCTTCAAACTGTTTAAACTAAGGACAAAAACAAAATCATTAATTTCTGTGTAACTTTTCATAAAGTTAAGATTTAGTGTGATTAAAGGACTTATGTCACAATGTAAGCCTTTTAGATGAAATATTAAAAATTTTAGATTTATTATATATACATTTAAAATACAATGGTTTCATTCCAGCCACTTGAAAAAAAATTTTCAGAAGTTTTGGAAATAATGAACAGTAGGCAATTCTACAGTGTAGATCATCCTAAGTTTTCTTTAAATTGTTTAGGAAGTTGTCCACTACTGAATGACAAACAATCTTCATAAAGTATTAAAAAGGGTAGAGTGAACCTTGAAAGGTGAAAATTCAGAACACACACACATCTAACTCTATACACACCAATAAATACAATTGTGCCAAGTCAGTTCTCTTCACCAAAGACAGTTCTTTGATATTTGTGAAGTGTTTTTGTTTGGTTTAGACTGAGTCTGCACCAGGACATTGCCAGTATCTCAGGTTAACACATACCCTGAAATTCTTTTGTCTTAGACCGATAGCACTGCGGTGACACTGGAATTTCCTCAGTCTTCCTTGTCCATGGAGCACAGCACTTTTCTTGGGTGGATGAGAGCATTTATCAGTTTTGCTTTTTTGCTGAGTCCTATGCCCATGAAACACTAACGTGTGTCAGTGAATATGCTCAATGATCAATCTCCAACTCTGTACAGTAGAAGACTTTAATTTTAAAATCTTTCTATACTGCTCCCTCAGTTCTGATACATCTAAAAGCAGCCCTGCTGGTAGGTGGGGTTATGTGTTGGGCTTTTGACCAAAAGTTTGGCTGCTTCAGTTCACTAGTCACCCTCTATAACCCAATGCAGCACACTCATAAGCTAGACTTGACTCAATATATGTGAGTTTTGTGTTGTTATGAGGAGCTCTGGTAGCCTAGTGGTTAAAAAGTCCAATGCACCAGTTTCTCCTCAAGGAAAGATGGACAGTCTCCTGTGAATCAGTCCCGACTCAACGGCAGTGAGTGAGTGAGTAGGAGGTGGCAAGGTCTGGTGGTACAGTCAGTAGAGAGTTACACTGCTAACTCAAAAGCTATGCATCAATGGCAGTTCAAATCCACTAGTGGCTCTAAGGGAGAAAGATAAGACTTTGTCCTGCTTTTGAATCAGCAGCACCACTTCTTACCATGAAGCCACCAGAGTTCTCTTGCATAGATGTTGTTATTAGGTCGAGCATGACCCTATGAACAACAGACATGAACCCTGCCTTATCCTGTGCCATCCTCATCATATCTGACACACTTGTGTAGATAAGGAAGTGCAAGGATGAGAGAAGTGATTTCAGAGAGATGCACAGTGATATTTGATAACATACCTACTAAAAAAATAATTTCAAAATTTTTTCAAGAGTAAGGCTTTTCCAAAGGGCTTGTGTTGCCATCAAAACTGTGGTTCTAGGAGCTGTCATTTTAAAAAGCAGTTTCATTCTCTCCTGCATGTTCTAATTTAGCATACAATTATCATTGTTTACAAATATAATTCCTTAGGCTAGAATGATATCTTTTTTATTTTAAACATTTAGTGGAGAATCTACCATAAAATAAGCATCCACAGCTAGTCTGTTGAATTGAAATAGCTCCAAATCATAGACTAGTGGCACAAAACAGAAACATCTATTTTCGTGTCATCTTTGTGCAGGGCCCAAGATATTCTCCTTTGTACAGTTCCAATTTTAGTACATGTGCTGCCAACGTGAGCACAGAAACACATGTATTTAAGCTGCACAAGAATATTGTTAGTTTCTGATGAGTCGTGTAAAATTCATAGTGACCCTGTGACCTACAGATCTGAACCTTGTCCTATTCTGTTTCATCCTCACCCTCATCGTATCTAACACACATGTGCCCATTGCTGTAGTCACTATGTTTATCCACTTCATTGATGGTCTTCCTCTTCTTGGCTGACCATCCACCTTTTCAAGCATGTTGTCTCTTTCAAAGAAAAAACCTGTCCTGGCAATATATCCAAAGTACATGAGATGCAGCTTCACCATCTTTGTCTTTAAGGAGAATACTGGCTGAATATTAATCAAATACAAATCTATCTCTGTGTGTGTGTGTGTGTGTGAGAGGGAAAGAGAGCGCACAATAGGCACGCACATTAATTACTATAAAACAAAAACAACTAACGATAAAATAGCTGCACACCTGAAACAAAGTTACAGCTCCTAAGAACTAGTTTGATGTCTTTGATGTCGATTTTTAGATGTAGGTGTAAATCAGATGAACTCCTTTTACACACATATAAATTTCACATAATATTTGTTGGGCTAGCATTTAACCAGGACTAAGCCACTGGGTAAAATAGCATCACTAGGGTTATGTCACCCACTAGTGTTATCTCCCTTACCACATCATACAGAACACTTAGGAATGTTCAATATGGACTTCAATCAGAATAATGTAGTTAGTATAGTCTAAACTGTTTAAATGTAGTATTTTTAAATTAATGAATATTAACAAAAAACTGTAAAATTTCTCCACATTGAATTACAACATAATTAGTTACAAATTAATTAATAATTGAGGAGAAACATTTAAATTTTTTTTCTTTTCCTTTAATTGCTACTTCACTTGCAAAAATTTTACAAATACCATTTATCACAATATTATAGCAAAACACCAGAAAATCTGACAAAACCAGCAATTATAAAAACCTCTATAGCAAAAAAATCCTCCAATAACATGATACAAAATGTCATCATAATTGAGTGATAATGGCAGTTGTAACCAGAATGGATTAGAAGGTTAAAAAAATAAATTAGCATAGAGTCTTAGCTGTGTAGGTGTACTGATGCACTGATGTGATGCACTGGGCTGACAAACAAACAAAAAAATTCTAGAATACTTCTATTAAAAATAGTAAATCTGTGTTGAAACAACACACAGATTTTCTAGATTCATTATGGTGTCTCTTTCTCCACCACAATGTCACATGGTGGATTCTACCTCCCCTTTCCCCATCCACTGATTGGAGACCTTTCCACACTTTGCAATAGCATTATCAGATGAATCAGTCTGCATGACTAGACAGGTGAAGGCCTTCTGCTGAAAGAGGACCATCTTGGAACAACCACTTTCAAATGCAATGCTAATGTGTTTCTTTTTTCTTCCTTGTCCACAGCTGAAATGGAATGCATTACACGTGAGGATTCATAAAGCTGAACGGTTTGTTTTCTAAATGAAGTTAGGCAGTCAGGTCACACATCTTATTTTCTATTATAATCTGAGACTGTGTGGAGCAAGTCTGGAACTGAGGCATATAAGAAACAAATGTCTTCTTAAGAGAGGTTGCTATGTTGAGGTGTGTGCAACTCTCCTGAAGAAGCCTGAGTTCAGTGAATAAACTGTGGGCTGGGAACGAGCACAAAACTCTTGACTCATCAGTCAAAAGCACATCACTCTCTCTTCTTTTCAGTGTATTGACGCCTAAGTAATACACAGACCTTTCATCATCATTTTCTTCAGGGAAATTGCCCTCTATTTTCAAAAGTTCATCAAATCCTTCTGTGAATGTAAGGTGTGGTGAAATTATACTGGGATGCTGCTCTGGTAATACAAAAAATGCCCGAGTCGCCATCTCCCATGAACTACTAGAGAGATCCTTCCATAGAGAATTTTTACTAGGGAAGCACTTGCTGACAGAACTATTTATAAGCTCTTGCTCTTCGTCAGTTTCATTTGAATTAAAGTTGCTTAAGAGTGTAGCATATTTAACAGAGGGCTGGCTCCAGCTCCCATCCTCACAGGTTATTCTGCCACTTTCATCCTCAGAGGAGTGGATGCTTTGACACTTGCCACTAACACAAGCAGAACCCTCCTCAAGATCTGGCCTTGTCAAAAGCAGAGAGACCGTAGACGTTGATGCCATCCCATCTTTATTTTCCCATGATGTATCAACACTGATATCTTCTGAAATGGTTTCAGGCTCCAAAAGAAGAGGACCAAATGGCAATGACTCTGTATGCTTGATAAAAAGACGCTCAAATGTTTCTGGCTAAAAAAAGAGATACATTTTAATGTTCAATTGCATGAAACAATTTGCTTCCCTGTGGCATGCTTGAAGAAATGGAAGTGTATAAGGATTAATTATAAATGGTATAATTCAATCACAAATTAAGTAGTTTGGGATCAAAAGAGATATATGGGGGAAATCATAACACAGAGGCAACAATGATAGTGTTTAAAAGTAAAACTTGACTTGAGGTCTTTTAATTCTACGAATATTGGAAAATACATTAACTTCTCTGCTTTTCACTTTCCTCATCTGTAAAGAAATGGTCAATACCTACTTTATGCCATATTTATTAATAATATATTTTTGTTGTTATGTGTCATTGAGTCCCATAGGAAGAGATGGTGGAGCAGCTGGTAGTTATAAACTGTCTGCTTGAGGTTTAAAGTGTTATTTTCTGAAGACCCTAATGTTTTTAAGCAAACTAGTTTTGTCCTACACCTCTCACTCCATTGCTGCCAAATTGATTTTGACTCACAGCAATCCTATAGGATAGGATAGAACTGTCCTCATAGGATTTTCAAGGCTGTAAATCTTTACAGGATCAGATTGTCACACCTTTTTCCTGTGCAGAATGTGGTAGCTTAGAAATGATGACCTTTTGGTTAGGAACCAAATGTTTAAGGACTGCCCCAGCTTTCCATAACTGAAAACTTAAGATACTTTGCCCTTTGCCCCAAATAAAAAAGTAGACTGGAGTAAAGCCAGGTCAATAAAACAGCAGGTCAAAACATAGATAAAGTAATTATTTTATGACATAAGCTGTGATCTAAAGGCAAAACGATTTTGACAATGAACTCATCTTTATTACATTATATTGGAAATTTGCTTTAGACTACCTGAAAATGAGAACACGTAAAAAAATTTGTTGAAAACCAGGATGTGAAAGAGATGACCACAGATGTGTAAATGAACATTTCTTATAATTTAACATAAATAATATACTATGTGACATATGGAATGAAGACAAACACACAGGACAAATGCAAATTATATTTTTTATAGCAATGGTTGTTACATCATAACAAAATTCTGCCAAGTAGTGACAAATTAAGAATTTATATATGAAAAGCTCAATTCAAATATCACAAACACATTTAAAAAATAAATTCAAAATAAAAAAATACTGTGGATGCATGACATTGAGAAATCAACAACTTAATGCAGACAGAAAAATGTATTCAATTTGTCACATATACAATTAAACTTTTAAAACTGATATCTTAAAAATGAATACAATAAATTCAGATTTGCTGTCTAAAATAACAATATAGTAAACTATTCTTCATTATGGCAAATAGATTACACACACAAATTATTTAGCATCGTTTCAGACCCTTAAATGACCTATATTAGTGATTAAGGCTGTGAAAGAATAATATATAAAACACTAAATAATAGTAAAGTGACTCAGAGGCTACATATTGAGAAATACTGTACTAGTGCAACTTTTTCTGTCAATCTGGGGCTATAATTCATGAACAAGAAATTGTTCCTGTGTCTATCTTATTTCTGAAGATATAATTTAGATTTATAATGTTTTCTCATATTGCTTTTTTGTAAAGTTTCTATGGCATATTCATTAAACTGTTATAAAATTGAAATGAATTTGATCATAATGCATCAATAGAATCACCAAATAAATGAATAACATAAAAATGATATGGGGACAAAAATTAGATACAAGTAGGCCATAGCATAAATCAGACTCACATATGTTCTTCAAATTATGTGTTTGATATACTTTATACTTCCTAAACTACATATTTAGAATTAATTGGTTGAAACTAAGTATCTTTATATGGAACACTTCACTAACAAGAAACACCCAAGTGTCTATGCATTATTGGAATCTAATTTATGAAGAGGTCATAAACATTAATTTTGAATATGCTAATTAAAATAAATTCAATCTATTTCTTTTTATATTTTAGAAGACTTCTGACACATGTTAAATATGTATTTGACTATTTGGAATTAGAGATTATCTTTCCATCATTTCACCCTTAGATTTTTCCACCCCAGTGGTAACTATTAAAAGTCAATATAATAGAAAAAGAACACATTCTATATTCTAGTTTTCACCATCAAATTAAGCTATGACTAAAAGCCAAGTATAAATGATCCACATATATCTTCTGTTTAAATATTTCTATTTTATCAGCCAGAAGGTTTGGTTTGGTTTGGTTTGGTTTGGTTTGGTTTGGTTTGGTTTGGTTTGGTTTGAACAAAAGCATTGCAGTACATTTATTATACTGAATTTATAGAACAATAAAGTTGTCTTTTTATTTCCCCTTTCCCCAGAGAGAAAAACCTTGTGCTCACCATGAACTATTTCTAAAAGCCTCAATGAGTCTCTCTTCCTTACATCATTGTTCACCCTCCTGCCTACCAGAAGTCTTTGATAGTTCAGTGGAAATAAATTACACGCAGGCAAGGATTTTACAGAGAGAGTAGGTTGGTGGCTGTTCTTTTCTGATCTGGTCAACCTGCCCTGGGTATGTAGCGTCCTCCTGAAAGGAACTGTACCTTCTACAGTCCTGTGACCAGCACAATTCCGGCTTTCTTTGAATAGAAATGGAAGTTGGCACTTAAGCCATTTTCAGAGAGAATGAAAATTGTCATTTTCAAATGGATCAAAATTAAATTCAGAAAATGTTACAAAACATGCAAAAGAAGACCCAAATGGACAAATGTAATGTCTATAAAGAATTTAAGATAGCAAAATGTGGACATAAAACTATAAACTAAATACTTGCATTACATTATTTTACTAAAAGTCATTATATTTGCAAAGTTATATGCTAACAGCTAAAGTTTGATGGTTCACCTTTGGGAGGAGTAAAGAATCACCTATCATACATAGTTAATAATATGTAACTTAGATGATAAAATCAAAGATTAAATATTTATTAATGTTTTATCACGTGAGAAATGAGACCTCTCAAGCTACAAAACCATTAATACTATTTTTCAAACTTTAAGTAGCCTGAAAAGAAATCATACATCCAAATTCAATTTATCTCAGACCTATATGATGCTCCCAAATATCCATTTTTATATTAAGCTCCATATCAACATAATCTCATCATGTTTTGGTTCTCAATAGTTCAATCAAAACTCTTTTTATATTTGATCTCCTTCTTCAAAATGTAAAAATCTTGTAATATTCTATAGCTGAGAAGTTGGTACATTGGGTACATCTGTAGTGATCATGATTAGACTTCAAAGAATGTCCGTTCTCTGTTTAAATAAAGTAAGAAAGTAAAGCAAAAAAAAAAATAAACTCAGAAATCAAAAGATAAAATACTTCAAAAATAATCATTGTATTGCATTGTATTATATTATAATAATACTCATTTCTAGAAAGGATAAAATTTTGCAGTAAGGTGTTTGCTCTCATTTTTTTTAATAGCTGTCTTAGTAAGGCAGATTATACATACAGTCTTAATACCTAACACCAGAGGAGAAAAAAAAATTGATAATATAACAGAATAACTAAAAATTTAAAAATAATAAAGAGCTGAAAAAATAAAATGGGGAACAAAACAACAGCAAGATTGGAGAGTTTGAAATAAGGAAGTGCAAAAGAGTAGGGCAATGAAACCAAAAATTAAAAATCAAGGGAAAAGATAAAGGAATAGTGACAAAAGAATCTACTAATTATTATCATGGATTTTAAATTGTTGTTGTTGTTGTTATGTGCCTTCGAATCGTTTGCGACTTGGTAATAATGAGGTTTGGGGTTGTTTTTTTTACTCTCCACTGCTTTAATAAAGCAACTGAGGAATGAGGTCCACTGAAATAATTTACTTAAGTTTGCACAACTAATTAGAGCAAAACAGAGGCCCAATTTGAATCTTCTCTTTTATGATATATATATATATATGT